CCCCCCCCCCCCTCCCCCTCACCCCCCCTCCCCCCCAACACCCCAGAAGTAGACAAAAAAAGGCAGAAACAAGCATAACCCGCGGGTCAATCGGTAGCGCATTTGCAGAAACTAGATGGTGAGACGGCCTGATCGAAGCGGCTCGTAATTGAGGTTCTGCCAGAAGATCGGCAGGGACCGCCAACGATCTACAGGGAAGCCAGGCCCGCGAGTGCATACGCATGTTAAAGACCGCGGGTAATTACTGTCTTGTGTTACAGAGAAGCCACATACCAGGACGCCCGAGTCTTCGACATGCAGGAGAGAGAGCTCTCTTCTTTGCAGCAGCGCATGCGAAACTCGCGCGCGCAAACTGCTTACACGCTGCAGCAGCAGCGGCAAGGCTGCCGGACAGCATTAGAAGGGCGAAGAGAACAGGAAAGGTCCCGCATCTCTTCCGTACTGAGCACTGTACTAAGGACCAGAACAGAGGGATGAGCAGCGAGATGAAGACCTCTGCAAGATCTGCTACGATGCAGCCTTGCAGCTGCAATCGAAGTTCGCTTGGACGAGTAATTTCAACTTTTAGCTTGCGAATTAAGCCACGAAGATACATGGCAGCACTGCCGCGGGACATCTTGCCTCGGAAGTTTGCGAAACTAGTTGAGGTCATCGATGTGGTGCTCTATCCATGTGGCCACTATATGCTGTGCAGATGGTGCGCGCAGATGGTCTCAGACTGCCCCGTTTGCAGATATGTCATCACAGATGTCATTCGCACTTACAAGGCCGCGAGGATTCAAAGTGCATGTTCGAGTCTGTGTGGAAGTTTGCGCTGCACGTGGCAGTTGTAAATCTGGCTTGTGCAAGTGTTCCCGCACACTTGTCTTGGCAGGCCTGATGCGGTTCGTCCAACACGCAGAATTGCTGTGCTGCAAGCATCGTCATGCCGCCAATGTGCACTCATGCATGAGATATTGCGAAGTGCAGCCATGCATGCAAAAGAGCCGTGACAAGAAGCTCCATGAAATTGAGTCAGGGACTTCCTGACTTGGGTCATGCTGACATCAAAGAAATCCGGCCAAAAAATCCACCATGAACCACCACCGAAACAGCGCCGGTGTGCGTGCGGCTTTTAGGTGCGAACACAACCATTTCTGCACACCCCTTCAGCCAGCTCTTCTTAGTTCGGTTCCTTTGGTTGCAAAGCAGGCAGAGCTGAAACGCCTGAGGGGCTATCGGGAGGCGTGTCGCTGTCGCTGTCGCCGTCGTGCTTGTTGAAGTGGCCCATTGCCACACCACGACGTGGCATCGCAAACTGGCAGGTCCTGGCCACACTACGCAGGCAGTCCGAGGAGCTGGAGGTGGCCTGAATTCAGTTGAAAGTAAAAGCCCTCACCTATTCACCTACGAAATCCAGTGACACCAGGCTCTCAGTGGGCAGGCTCTGCCCCGGGCACTGTGGAACGGGCGACCCTTTTGTGGAGGCTTTTCGGTGAAACTCGCTGTCTGAGGAGTCAATGGACCTGTCCCGCATTACGAGTCTTCCGGAAAAGGCGAGCGCACGGGGCTTTGCATGCCACACGCATGTGTCGCGCGATCGACCTTTTCAGGTGAAGGTGGATCTCGCGTTGGCGTTCTTGTCAACGCTGCTGGGCCGAAGGCATCTGAGCCTATTGAGGCTCGGTGAGAGACGCATCGAGATGTAGTAGCTGGGAGTCATGATGCGAAGCTCTCATGAGTTGCTTGGGTTTTGTGTCCCTGCGGACAGCAGTCCTACTAAGCTAAGGCCCCGATCGTGAAGGTACAGTAGGTGTTGAAGGCAGCGGGCCAAGAAGTTAAGCCACTGGCGGAGCTAATGGCATCGATAGCTGGGATATGCTGGGATTAGCTGGGTGGAGTAGCATCTTAGACCCTTGAGCCCCGCCCGCGGATCAAAGTTGTGAGCAGGGCGTGTGTGCTGGCAGGCTAGCCGAGAGGCCTGACGTGGAACCTGGCGATGACAGCCCAACGTGCCTAGACGCAGGCTGCCTTTGCCCGCTCATTTTCGGCCCCGAAGCCGGCCACTGCTCTTGCGAGGGTGCATTTGGCACAGGATCTCCGGAAGTCAAACTACGAGAAGCTCTTGACAGCAGCTGGGCTACGGAGAGCACCAGCAGTTGTAATTCAGGTGTTCGCGTTTGTGCTTCTGCTGCGAGGCCATGTGAGCACCGCATTTTCTGGCATGGTGAACCACTCAGAGCGCTGACCAGCAATCTGGTGTAGAGTGTAGGCAACCCCAAAAAGATCAATCTGGCCAAGCATTCTGGCAGTATTTCTCCGGCCTGTTGCAGAACGGCAAGGGAAGTCTTCCTGTAACATATGGATGTATCGCTGGAACACATGGATGTATCGCTGCAGCGACAAAGTGGAGATGTCTGTCGCCCAGAATCACCAGCTCAAAGGTCTTTGTACCTATGTGCAATTGCATGAACAGACACAAAGTCGCATCCCTGATTCAGGTTCGGCTGCTTGGTTTCGGAGATGCCAAACGAGAGGCCAAGGTTACGGAGCTGGCGTCTACCTATCTGAAGGTGGGGCACCGCACGCCATTGATTCTGGGCATGCGGCGGCACTTGCAGCTGCTTCACGGCTTCGGCATGTCCTGGATTGTCGGTTTCAAATCAAACGTAAATCCACCTGCGCAGAGTGTGGCTCAAGCACACCGAAGGTAGACGTTCAATCGTTCTGCCATTTTTGCCCGGCGTCGCCGGGCTATGACACAGAGGACTGTATGGCTTGCTCGCTGAATTCCGGGATGGATACATCAAGTCATCAAGTTATATCATGGCGTTTGTCATGTCGTTGTCTGACATGCCTCCACTCCCCTTCCGCCCCTTGCAGGCGTGCTGGCCCACACATTTGCCTGATCACTCTTCAAACACAACTGCCACATTACCGTCCTCAGTCTTGGCGGCTGGCCAGCATGGCACGGCGAACCCCAAGGGAAGCACAGTTTGCTGACTGTAGGGTCGTTTTGGGGAATTGGAGGAGTTGAAGTGGGCGGAACGGATGGCTAGAATGATCACTCCTGAATAAGGGGAGGGACAAGAAGAAAAGCAAGCAAGCAAACAAGAGCGAGCCAGCTAGCGTGGTGTGGTGCTGATGGATGTGTCACGTGTGTCCAAGTCTACAGGTGATGTTCATGACATGAGCATTTCAGGAACCAGGGCCTGACATAGCCGGTGCAAACTTAAAGGAAGCCACAACACCAGAAGCTATGCTTAAGGAACCATCCGTCACCGCTCAGAAGTTCAGCGTTCGCCGTCTTTCATCAAGCTTCTCATTCCTGCGGTTGCTGCCTGCTACTTGTAGCAAGTGGTAAAATGTGGCAAAGACAACGCTCTTTGCATGGCCTCGGCTCTTACACTGCTCAGCTGGCTGCAGGACCGCGCTGGACGAGGTGGATGCAAAGGGCAGCTTCAAGAGGACGGCCTTCAGCTTCACTTGGCGACAGCATACGAAAGCCCTGTCTGTGCAGCAGGACCGATGCCACATACCGAAATGTGATTGAGGAAGGCGGTCGCTTCGAACCGGCATGGGGCCGGTACCACCTCTATGCAGCTTGGCCGCGATTAGACATGTTGCGAAGGGGGCCACGAATATCGACACTTGTTCTCCCTTGTTGCGAGGTGGCTCTTGCATGCCCATGGGCAGACGGAACTCTGGCGGCGCTTTACCTGAAAGGCCTTGAGCATGTCATTGGTTTCAGCGTGGTCCACCCGACCTGGCAAAGATCTCGGCCAGCGAACCCTAACGACATGCACTGTGGCTGGGCGTTTCGAAACCCTGGGGATCCACCTCTTGCAAATTCACTGGGATTTGGCAAATTTGAGTGCGATGATGCGCTCGTTGCTGACGTCGTGAACAATTGCAAGTTCGTCAGGGACTTGTATGAGAAGTCAAACGACAAGGCTGGCAAGTACAGCACACCTGTGCTTTGGGATAAGAAAGAAGGCACAATCGTGAACAACGAGTCGATGGATATCCTGAAGATGTTCAACACAAAGTTCAACAAATTTGCCAAGAATCCGGAATTGGATTTGTTTCCAGCACACCTTGCCAAAGTGGCTGAAGAAGCAAATGCATGGATCTATCCCAACATAAACAACGGTGTCTATAGATGTGGCTTTGCCAAAACCCAGGAAGCTTACGACCTGGCTGTGAAGGATTTGGCCGCAGCCCTCGATAAGGCAGAGAACCTCTTGGCGAAGCAGCGCTATGTCTGTGGTGACACCTTCACATACATGGACCTAAGACTCTTCATGACCCTCGTGCGATTCGACCCAGTGTACGTTGTGTATTTCAAGACCAACGTGGGCACGATTGAGATGAACTACCCCAACCTCTTCAACTACATCAAGGACATCTACCAATTCGGAAGTATGTCCAAGGCCATCAACATGAGACACATCAAGATGCATTATTTCACCTCGCACCCGGACTTGAACAAGTTTGCGATCATCCCAAAGGGGCGTGATATGGACTTGGCCGGACCGCACAATCGGGGAAAGGGCGGAAAGGCTGTTGAAGTCTCATGTTGGGCGAAGGTCATGGAGCTTATATCACCAAGCCAAAAGTGATAGGCGGATAGAGCGCACATCAGAGTCTCATCAGAGCTCACATGGTCTCAAACACTGCCTTGGATAAACGATGGGCAGTGTCTGGGAGGAGCTGCGAGCCAACAAGTTTTCTCTGTGACATCCGGTCTGTCCTCTTGGTGAAATCAAGGCGTGATAGGGCTCTCCGGCCGCAGCTGCGAAGAGTATACAATTTGCCGTACGATGCTCCGTTTAAGTTCTTATGCCCCCATTGATTGAGCAGCTTGCGTGCTTGCCATTGTTCCTTCATGTTCCTACTACACGGTGCGCCGGGCTGAAGATTTTCGCACAAGCTTGACAGACCCTGGTTTCTAGACCCCGGCGTCGCTGCCTGAACCAAAAGGCTCTTGTATCTTCGCTCTTTTGCTAACTGGAGCGCTTTGATTGTCGCGTCAATCGATGCCTTGCTCGTTCTTGTGCAGGCTCCGAAGTGGGGCTCTGAGCACGTGAAGTCCTGAAGTAGCTGAGGAAGCTCGACCACTCCGTGCATTGGCTTCAATGACTCAATAGGGCCCCCTGCGCAGCCCGATTGCAAACATCTGCAAAGCAAGAGGTCAAGATGGCCTGACCTTGCAGAGCTCTGCTCTTCTGCCTGCAGCTCAGTTAGCAATGCCTTGCCGTTTCGCCCATGTTGCCACATCGACCCTTCCTTTCTTCGGCGGCGGGCTCGAAGAAAGAAAGAAAGACGCGTTTGTAGTTCCTCCATTCAGCGGTAGCGATGTCCCGGACTAAAGCAATGATTGGGGCCGCGGTGCTCGCAAGCCCACTGACCTTCATCGCACCTGGAGGCTTTTGCTGTCGTAGCGAAGATTGCGCCGTGCGCCCATGTTGCTTGAAAAGCAGTGTGACGCAGGCAGTCCTCAAGCCGCACCCCGCGCTGCTCTCCCTGGCACCGGAACAGAGACCAGAAACACAAAGTCGGGTGTGGCTGGGCCTACTGCTGCGCTGGTGGCCACTGCTGGGCCGCTGCCTCAGTTCTACAGCATAAGTAGCATTAGTTTGAAGACGTCCCTCAGCACGTGAACTTTGACAGTGGACTCAGTGGACAGGCTTGCGGCCGCAGGTCGTCGGTGCACGCGGCAGCAGCGTCGCGCCGATGAAGCCTACGGTGCCATGCGCTTAGCTCAAGGGGAGGGTCTCGGCTGCCCAAGCAAGCACTTCGATCCGAAGGCTTCGCACACGTCCTTCTACACCGATGCCGTGGCAAAGGACAAGTACGACACCCTGGAGGAAGTCCCGACCTCGCATGCTCAGAAGCAGAAACTGTCTTGCAAGTCAGTGGCAGTCTTGACAGAACCACGATGAACAAAAACAACTCCCTTTGCCCCACTTTGAGTGGGTGGAATTGCTTCCTCAAGTCACCGAGGTGCTTGCCGACAAGCTGAAGGACGAGAAACTGAAGGGTATGGTGAACGAGCTGCTGGATGCGTGCGTGAAGATCACTGAGGCATGGCATCCCCTACGCTTACAACGGTGACCGATCTCCATAAACAACGAAATCGGTTCATGGTACTCTGTGACTCTTGGCATGTGCAGATGGCTGATGGAGTCTGCAAGTGAAGCTGTCTCTCGATGTCTCGCGGTCGTTCCTTCATTCAGAGTAGTAGATCCCTGTAGATGGGCTCAAAGAGTTGCTGTTCACAAAGTTGCTGCGTTTTGCACAAGCATGCACAAGACAAGAGTACAGTGCAAGCGTCGGATTTCTGCTGGTTCGCCCTCAGTCTCATGCCCGTTCGCTAGGCCTTGCGGGTGAACCTGGTCACCGTCAACGATGCATCCAATGCTTTCGGTGACCGGCAGCTAACCGTAGATGTCATCGCAGACAACCTGCTCTGGGATCTGGCGAAGCATCTGGGCTGTCTATTTTCGCGAGCGAGAGCCGCACAATGGGCCCCGATGGGCTGCAGTAAGGCTCCGACTGCAAGCTGTCAGGTCTTCCAAGTACGTCTATGAGGCCTCCTCTGAGGAGGAGCCAGAGATCGTGCAGACCAATGGTGACGGTCAGTACGTTCTGTGCTGGGATCCATTGGATGGAAGCTCTATTGTAGAACCTTGGCTTCGGACAGAAGTTTGTTTCAACTCGTGAACCTGCTCGGTCCTCGGTTGCATCGCAGCTGAGGATAACAACTGGGCCGTCGGCACGATTGTTGGGGTTTGGGACAAGTCAACTGGCCTCATTGGAGCTACCGGCCGCGACCAGGCACCCCAAACATAAGAGATCATGAATGCAATACATTACATACATTACATTGCCAACAACTGAGAACTGAGTCAAGAGACGTGGTTGGCGTGAAAGGGTTGTGTTGGATTCGCACCGAACACAGACATCAATATTTTCGGCTGGGACGAGCATCAATGGCAAGACTCTATTGGAGATCTTGCAAATCCGAGACTGAGACATGTTCAGACATGTGCGGGCGTGTGCAGGTGATGAGCCTCGTGGCCCTTTACGGTCCACGAACAACTGCCTCTCGGGCCCGAATCAGCACTTCCGGCTGTCCGCACAGTAGAGTAAGAGTCTTGGGCAGAGGTTTTCATCACGCTGGATGATGGTGTCTACGAGTTCACCCTGGGAGACGGCAACAAGTGGATCTGCTCCCGCGACAAGATCCAGATCAAACCCGAGTGCAAGATCTTTGCTCCCGCAAACATGCGTGCGGCTCAGGAGGTGGACGGATACAACAACTTGATCAATCACTACATGACCAACAAATTCACATTGCGCTACACTGGTGGTTCCTTGGACGCAGTTCATGCGTGCGCCCGGGGCTTTCGAAGGAAGCTGCAGACAAAGCAGATGTCAGTCGCAAGGTCTGGTGCCCGACGTGTGCCAGCAGTTTACCAAGGGCCAGGGTGTGTTCACCAACCCAACCTCCAAGGCTGGTCTTGCCAAAGCCCCTCCGGATAGCCACGACGGTACGTCCATTAACCCGCCAGTGTCAAGAGGTCAACGAAAAGCCGGTGTCTTCGCTAGAGTCCTTGCCGCTGTCGAGGCGTCCCCAGCGAAGCTGCGCTTGGCCTTTGAGGCGAGTGCTGGCAAGACACCTCATTACCGCATGCCATGCCCTCTTGCAATTTGACGGATACATGACTGATACATGCTACACCGACTGTCACATCCGTTGTTGGCGTCTTTTGCGCAGGCGGCTCCCTTCGGCCGACTCGTGGAGATGTCAGGCCAAAGGGCCTGCAGCCAGCGTAAGTGGCACGCTTCAGTCGTGTGTCTGATCGGGGACAGCCCGGTACCTTCGATGTAACTGGCGAAGTTCTCCGAGTTGTGAGTCGAAGAAGTGAGCTAGAGAATACTAGAGACTAGAGTCGAAGAATCCAATCCTCTTGGGCCTGCCATCAACTCAGAAGTCATACGTGAGTTTGTCAGGCGTAGCGTTTCATGTTCGTTTGGGTTGCAGATGCGGCAGTGTGAACTTCGGTCCATCAAAGTGAATCGCACGAGACGGCGCGTGATTGCGTGAGGCGGCAAGACCTCTGATGGCGTCAGCGGCAATAGTGTGCTGGACCAGCTTCTTCATCAGCCGGCATCAGACAGAGTCACGTTTATGGTTGTTTTGAGGTCGTGCATTCCTGGTACAGTATATTCATGATTCCGAGCTGATGCTTAGCCATCGCTGTCAAGTCGCGCGCCACATACCTAAGCCCGAGCCAATTCCGCCAGGACATGAAGATCACTGCAGTGGACCAGCGGACGGCTTTGGCCATTGGATCAGCTCAGGATGTGTCTTTACTTGACCCCGATGGCCTTCGGCATACACGTCATGTCGCAGTCTTGCGTGCAGTCTGAATCGCCTCCACAGGAAGATGCCAAAAAATCGCTTGTCTTCAGGAGGTGCAGCGTTTCAACGAGATGGTCCTGCAGAAGTGAGCATTCAGAACTTGTGAACTGACGGCGGAGCATAGCCCCCAGCCAGCTAACATGTTATGCCACGTTGTCTCTTGATCTGTTTTCATTTCTCCCAAGTTTTGTGATTTTAACGCTGCCCGGAGCAACTTGCGGGTAGCGTTGCCGGAATGTTCTGTTTCAAGAGCATCGAAGGTTGGCGGCTGCTGTGGTGTTCACGCGTCGAAAGAAGATACGCTAATGATTAATGCACAAGTCACGGGTACTGCGGGCCTTCAGTCGAGGCAAGTTCGGTCGAGTTTGAGTTCATGAGTAGCGAACTTTCGGCTTCTTTGCTCAGGTCCGGCTTGCACTTGCCAGCCAGAGCGCAGACGAGGAGCCTGCTGGGAGGGAGGACAAGCTCGGTTCAGCATCTTTTGCCGCTGTTTTGCTGCTGGGGATTCTGAGCATTTGAAGTCGCACATGCACTAGGCCACTATGGCGCCAGCTCATGGCAGCAGTTTCCATGCGCTCGTGGATGTTAGAAGTGACTTGCTAGGCGTCTACTACCGTTGGTTGGGCCGCCGACCGCTGTTGGCCTGTCGGTGGCGAGGACCGGCCAGGGCTGTCCTGAGAAATTGAACGACAATTGCCAGGCCAGTTGAATTTGAAGGAACAGCAAGTCCAAGGTGCCACATAGCTATCTTGAGCAGCTTCTCAGACTCTCAGAAACACGGCATTGCGATGAAGGGCAATGCGAGCATGCGTGAATGGCTGACAATTTGTGGCCCAGGTGCAGGCCCGAGAGCTAGTTTAATGTTCTGAGGCAGCACGGCGGGGACACGAGCTTGCCGAAGGGCTTGCGTGCCCTTACAGTACCAGTAGCAAAATGGAGCTCCCAGATGGTTGCAGAGCGGTCACATGATGTCGGCTGTCATAGAGAAATGGGCAAAGAGTCGTTGGGGAGGATGCCGTGGCACGGCTCGGTGCCAGGCTGCCCTTCTTTGGCCGGGTGCGGGGCTCGTGGCGCCATGACTGTAAGAGGTCAGAGTGGCTGTGAGTGGAGGTCTTGGTCCCATCTGCAGAAGACGCCGCAAGGAAGCTTTCGGAGGGCAGCTTGTGGTGTCCCGAGGCGAGTCAGATCACTGCTCTGCGAAGTGAAAAGTCGCCTGGATGAGAGGATGCCTGCCTGACCTACGCTGACAAGTCGCCGGATGAGGCTTCTGTGGCAGCAGGGCTCTCAGAGCCTGTGCGGCGTTGCACCAAAGAGAAGACAAGCCGTGCTGAACCAGGTCCTTTACAGGGAAGGTTGCCGTGAGAAGGCACGAGTGCCTTCGTGCTGCTCGTAGTGTCGTAGTGGTGCTAGCGGCTGCTAGCGCCTAGCGCCGGTGATTTCAGAGTCTATAGTGCAGCCAGGCGCACACGTATTTGCGGATGCGATTCGACACCATAATTTCCATGGTGATATATGGTGATTGTCTGCAAGCTAGCGGGCCAGGTGTTGAAGCATCTGTCAGCCTCCAGCGAGGAGGAGCTGAAGGCAGGCCGGTCGACTCACAGTGCTCGATCCTGATCTGGCCTGGGCAGGGTTCCGGTGAGCTGCCTCCAGACCCAAAGGCACACCGAATGAACACAGGTTTGCTGCAGGCCGCCAGTCGAGATATTGAAGTTGCATGCTAACTTAACTGCTGGTGCGAGATGTGAAAGTAGGCAGCTGGGAAATGGGTCAAGGACTGTGGAGGACTGCAGCTTAATGTGCCTGCCACGCAGGCCTTCAGCAAGGGCAGCAAAGCTCTGCAGCTGCCACAGCTGTGCAGAGACAGCATTGGCTTTTCGTGTGTCGCTGTGGATTGGCGGATGAGCGGAAGACTGGTTTCCCTGGTTGTTGTTGGGTTCCCCGCTGGGGATCTTCACGAGAGTTCATGCCCGTTGGGGACCTGTCGAAGCGCACTTGAGCCAGCAGCTACAACAAAAACACTAAGTTGGTCGCTGAGGCCTCGGTCCTGGCTGCTGGCTCGGGAGCTCCTGGCGATGATGCTCGGGGCCACTCGGCGAATTCGTCGAAGCTGCTGGGAGTGTCGTGAAGTTTAGTGAAGTGGAGTGCAAGGCTGGAGCTGGAACCTTCGATGCACGGAGCAGGGTCGGCATCCGAGTTCCGCTCGAAGTCTGCGCCTGCCGTCTCTGGCGAAAAACGAGGGTGCATTGAAGTCTTGAAGCGAGCGTGCACCGGGCCGATCTCAGGCTGCCATGATTGAGATGATCCTGGGTTGCAGACATGAGAAAAAGCTGCTGGTGCCAACCGAAGGAGACAAAGCAAAGTGCACTTGAAAAGCTCAGGTTTGGCCACTTCGGCATTCCCGAACAGGTGATAGCTGGCACGGTACTCGAAGGTGATGGTGTTCTGGCAAGCTTCTAGACGCCGGGACAAGCACGGCCCCATGTGTTTTGTTCAGGTTGGGAGTCCGAGATTGGCGGCGCTCTGTTTGAGGCTTTGGAGGCAACACACACACACACACATTTCGGAGCTACATTTCGGCTGCTGAGAGCATTGGCTCTGCAGGCCTCAAGCATCCTCGAGGCGCAGAAAGCTGCGAGAGGCAATTGGAGGAAAAGCAAGGCCAGGCACGCGATGCATCGCATAGCAAATCATATCCTATCGCAGCCTTAAAGCCCGTGCTCTTTACGGTGAAGCTGTCGCAGTCGTCTGAGGTGGCCATGGCCGCGGCCGGCGGTGGGCTTGTCTTGGCCATCACTGGTGGTCTTGCTGCTGGCGGCCTAGCGTTACGCACACTTGAGCCATTCCAGGAGAGCAAGGTATCTAGAGCTGCAGCTGCCACGAATCAGGCGCCCATCGTTGCACCGGCATTGGCAACAGGTGCCGGGAGCTCAATGAACTTGCAGGGTCCGCTGGGTTACGGCCGCCATCGTGTTAGCTAGTGGCGCAATGCAGGGGTCTGTTGCGGACAGTCCTTCGCCAGGCAGCAGCAGTCGGGGCGCAGGCAGCGGCAGTTGGCGCTGCGGTCGGCCTGGCTCACAGCTCATCAATTAGAGTCGAAGCCACCGCCCGCGTATGTCTTGACGATGCCACCAGCAAGTTAGCGTACTTGTCAGCCTCGGCGAAGAAGATTAGTGACTGATGGATGGCCCACGTCAGAAGCAGGCTTAACACAAGCCGGCGTGCTGGTTGGAGGCACGAAAGCAAGCCCGACCATACAGGTGTGCATGTGCTCCTGGTGTACCTGGCCACCAGGGATAGAGACAAAGACATGGCACGACGGCACGATACATGTTGCACCGAAGTGCCTACAGACATTGGAAGGTGTTGTTTATGTTTGTCAGCTTTCCCGATCCGCGGCTCTGCTTGACAATGTTGTTGCAGAAGATCCGGTAGCGAGACTCAGCTGCTGTTAAATCTACAAACAGAAAGGGGCAGGCGAATCTGGTGCTTTGCGAATGTGACCTTGTGTTGTAGCCCGCAGATGTGCCTTAGGCCCTTATATTATAGGCTGCAGCTTCCCAAGTTTGAGGATCCTCGAGAAGCCAGAAGCCACCCAGACCTGCTGGCTTTTGGTCACTTGAGCCGACAGGGAAAATGATTGAAACTAATGTCATGCTGCACAGATTCACCCTGCCGTGTCCCAAATGCTGACCCGGCTGCTTCTGCCGTGAAAGGGAGCGCCCATCGACTAGTAATTGAGCGAACCTGCCTGTGAAAGGTGCCATCAGTGGCCTGGGAGTGGGATTGGGCTCGATCCTGGCTTCACTCGGTGAGCCTGGTTTGCAGACGTGGACTGCAGCGACTCGAATCGCAGTGCCAGGTACAGCGGGGGCCGTGGCCTTGTTCGGCGCAACAGGCCGGCCCCCTGATTTTATAGATGCAGGCAGGAGCGCTGGAACCGCTAGAAGATCTGAAAAGAGGCGCTGGACTGACCGGGTGGAAGATGTCGAAGCGATGGGGAGACTTGGAGGCGATCTCAGGTGAGGTCAAGGCAAAGGCGGCAAAGGCTTCTCCTTTGCTTCTTTTTCTTGTGCTGGGTGCCCCTGTGCCCCTCCACTCCCCATGCGCAGGAATTCGAATTCCAGCCATTGGAAACCAGCTTCAGGACCGCCGGGGTTGAGTGTGGATCGGCGTGGAGCTATTCCTGTCATGTTGCAATCATCCTGACACCCCGCCCAGCCTCCGCCTCAGGACGATCCAGGAAACTGTTGACCTGGATGATGCGGCGCGATTCTCACTCTGTAAGACATGACAGAGGGTTCGATGCATCATGCATCTTATGCGACTCTCCTCGCGGTTCCCTTGCCAAGGAGGCCACGGCAGCGCTGGATCAAGCGACCACCGTGCCATGGCAAACTGTTGGAGTGCCATTGGAGTGCCTGCTTGGACCACATAGGGCTCACACTCCACTGGTGTCATGGGGCTTTGCAGGCAGAAAGTCTTGAAACAAGATGCGATGAATCTGTGACAGTGGTGAAGCTTCGGCGGGCCACGGGCAGGAGGTGACTGATGACGACGATGAGAACCCTGTACCCGGAGCCCCAGAGGCCAATTTAATCGTGGCGCAAGCCTGAACCCGAACCCTGTCCTCCAACCTAGGGGATGCTGACTCAGGAGGCCCTACTCAGCTTGCCCAAGCAAGAAGATTCTCGATGGACTGGGGCTAAGGATGGCACGTTGCGTGAGGACGTTTGGACCCTCAGTTTGAAGCTTGGGCAGCGTGGGATCCGAGAGCTGCAAATAGCTGCAATTTCAACCGGAGCTCTTGAACGGGATTTTGTTTGACTGTGCGGCTGTTGAAATCCATGACACTCACTGGAACAGGTTGCCGTACCTATCGCTGGCGGTGGGCTGCACGCTCTCCGAAAAGGCCAGGCCGCCTTTCTCTCATAGGAATCCGTAAACCATCTTACATCTGTCTTTTCCAGCCATGCCCATCTGCAGACAAGACACGAGCAGTGAGGACACCCACACAAGCGACAGTAGCCTGGCAAGGAGGGCCATCTTCTCATGCACGAGAATGAACAGTTTAAGTTTAAGACAGTTTGATCTTGTCCAGTTTGCAGGCAGCGAGCTTACTCGTCCCTACCTCAGCACACGTTTCGAAGGAGGAGCAGCGCCAGGGAGGAGTGCAGCTCGGGCCCAGATTGATTGCCAGCGCAGGTCGGCAGACCCTGCCTAACTCTGGCAGCAGGTGCATCGGACAGTTGACAGAACCTGTGTGTGCATGGATGAATGGCGCATACGAAGTAGCTGTGGCGCAACTTGGTGCCGTGAGTCCTGGTGGGAGCACGACCGTGCGCTACCACTTCCAGCACAAGGTGGACCAGGCGCGAACGAGCGTGCTTCGTACAGCAGGGTCTCATCACGACCTTTGCTGTCAGGTGCAGAGGCCCATGGCCAAGCAGGGGAAGAGGGCATTTCGTGAGTTGCCAGTCCACGAGATCCACGATAAGAGGTCCGTCCACTTGGCTTTATTCGTGTCTGGATGGATACAAGACAGGCAGCGCCCTCAGCATTCAGGGCTCAGGGCTTCGGTGACCAGAGCTGCACCGCCAGGGCTGACTTTCGAAAGCCGTGGATGGACGCAGCCAAGGTGGGGTGCGAGCGTTGATGAGTGGCTTGAGGCTGCTGCTGCTAATGTTTGCATCTCCTGTCAGGTGTTCTTTCCCAAGAGTGGTCACTTAGCTCCGTTCCCAGTCGGCAATGCTTTCTGCGGGTGTGCTCGACTGTGACGCCTCAAATGACGGCATGGTTTGCGAGGCACTGCATTGGGAGACACAGGAGTTGCTGGATGTGAGCGGTGTGCTTTCGTCTTAGCGCATGTTCACGTGAAGGACCGCACTTGTGGGCATCAGTGTTTCTGCATACTTGAGCTCCGCATACGTATTGAAGCGTGGCGATGCTGCAACATTCTGCGTGAGGTTTGGGCAGATGGTCGCCCAGGAAGTGGCATCCAGCACCGCCGCTTCACTGCAGCGGGAAAACGTATGCAGATCATCCATCTGTGCACGCCACGGGGATTAGCAGCACGAGGCATCGTTCTGGTCTGTGGCTGAGCGAGTCCGGTGTTGCTGTTTGGGCACCTTCGGATTTGAAGCAGCATGAAGTTGGAGTCACGAAGGTTCAAGTCCAGTGCCGTGTCCACCGTGGCTGCAGCAGGCCCAGCAAGGGAAGCCAAGTACTTCCTGGCATGCAGAGTCTCAGCTGCCTCGGACTCGCGTGTCGAGTCTGGTTGGGTTTGTTTGGCGCTGCACGACATGTCACCTTTTTTGACCCACAGAGATGGTGCTGCCGCTGCCCGCTTGGCTTTCAGCTTCCCAAGATAGGGCCCGCGCGGCCCTGGGGGATACATGGCAGGGTCGGGGGAAGAATTGCTGCTCGGCTAAAGCCGGCGACACTTGCACTTGCAGCAAGCAAAGCGACCGAAATCACTCAAAAGATCCGCTGCGGGCCGTCGGGTTTCATCCAAGGTACAGCTTCACCTACTCGGATGGCTTGCGCAAAGGACCCGAGCGAAGTCGTTGCCGATATCCTTGGAAGTGACCTGTGTGCGAGTCGCAGGCTGTCACATTGTGGAGCAGCTCCACGTGGACAAGATAGCAGGGCGCTTTACTTGGACACGTGGCCTTCAGAGCGAGGGCAAGGAGGTGCTGCGCTGTGAGCTTTGAGCTCTGAGAAGCTTTGGGCCGCTCCTGTGCCAGGTTGCTTCGAAGCGACAAGGTAGCTCCTATGTGATATCGCATGTGTTCTTGGCTCAGTCCCGCCGTTACGTTTAGCGCATCATCCGGCCAATTTCGCAACAGTCCTGTGAGTCCTGTCAAGTCGAGGTCCAGCGTCCGGTTTGCAACTCGCCTGGGTGATCCCAACTCGGAGTTTCTGAGCGCCACGCGGCTGATTACCATGAGCCGTGGCTCGGATCTACCGGGCTCTTCAAGGATTCTCAAACCGGCTCAGGCCACGCAGCGACAGCTTGTCAAGCATCGTGCGATACGGACTTGGCTCAGCAGCAATGCACCGTCCATACTGGGCCTGCTTGCCACTTGGCGGACAATCAGGCTTAAGGCAGGCATGTTATAGCGGTTTGTGAAGCAGCAAGAAAGAACAGGCCTCCGTGACCGAAACTTTGCTCTGATGGTTCTTTTCTGTGACCACGCAAGCATTGCACTTCGTCGTTTCGGTAATGCCATTTTGAAGGGTTGGAGGCGGAGCTCGACCTCTGCAACCGGAAATAGGAGTTTCGGGTTTGCGATCATAGCCATAGCCTTCGGAGGGAGCGTCGGTCTCCCGCAGGCCGTCCTCTTCAACGCCTTGACAGTGACTCTGGTACTTGCAGCATGCCTATGCCACGCCACATGGCAAGTCTTTCCTCAGGACGGATATCACTTTCTAGTGATTCTAGTGCAAGCTTTCGCTCATGCCCACATACTTTCAAGACCACACTTTGCACCGACGCGCTTTCTGCAGGCGGGCGATAGTTTCGACATGTCTCAAGGCCGGGGCCTTCTTCTTCTGCCGTCCCACTTTTCTCGGCTTTCTGCTTCGGTGCAGGCCCAGATTCGGAAGCGCTCGCAGCTGCTGCAACTCTTTCAGTCTTGACGGTCACTTGCATCAATAGCTAAGAGAAGTGTGTCGTGCATGCAATGGTTGGTATAGACGGGATTAGAGCCAAGGTGCTTGCCGCAACGGTGGCAGGTCGCTCATCTGAAATAATTGTTTCCTCAGGCACCACATATGTCCGGGCAGCAGATGCAAACGAGGATGCCAGGCTTTCTGTCTGTCGCCGGTCAGAACTCAAAGCTTTTTCAGGCACATTACTAGTAATGCCAATCGCCACATTGAAACATCTAGCATGATCATGACAGCCCTCGCTACCGAGCCCGTCGCTTGAATGCAAGATAATGCAAGTCAGGCTGGTGGCTGGGCATCTTCAGATGTAGATGCTGCGGCTTCAAGGCCTTTGAGCGTGAGACGGTGGGCACCGCGACAAGGTTGACTTCAAAGATAGCTACCTGGTGCGAGCTTAACCCTAAACCCCTAACCCCCTAAACCCTAAACCCTACTATATAGGCCACGGTCGACTTCACTTGGCCTTCTGGCTGATGCTGGAAGAACCGAGGCTGCGAGGTGCAAGATCCAGAGGCCTCTGGGCAGATGCAGTATCAGATATATAATATAATATATAATATATAATAACATAATATACAATATATAATAATTAATATATAATATAAAATACATAGTATAAGTAATATAATATATTTACCAGTGCAGGTCGAATCTGAGAGGCTTGCTCGACGCTTTTGCCAGGCCACTGACTGGGGCAGTTCTCGCTGTCTGCATACTCTGGCAGCTTGGCTGCGCCGGGCTCGCGATGTTTCGACCCCCAAACGAACCTCTCTACAAGGTGCTTTTTCGTGCTGCTGTTGTGTCCGAACCTGAGAAGCCGCCTGCATGCGGACCACTGTCTCGGTGCTGGGCTCATAGACTTATGACTACTCATCATATCGTTAACTGAGGCCCGATAGCTTATGGCCTGAGTCGCCGAACCATGTGCCAGGGGCTTGGCGGGGTCTTGGCGCAAACTGTCCGGATTGGTTTCCGTCGGTTTTTTTTTACACTTTCTGCGAGCTCCTGGCAGGCGACGAGGGTAGCTGTAGCCCGGAACCGGGCTCTCCTTTGCTCCCCACCTGTGGTGTCGGCCGCTGCCGATGCGGGGGCCTGGCGGATCTGCGGGGCGCTTACGACTCCACAACGGTATGCATTTTCAGAGGCTGACGACGAGACGTGTCACCGAAACCGGTCTCCGCTCCTCAGGACATGCATTACAGCCAGTGCAGGGCAGGACCTGTCACTCTGCAGAAATGTGAAGCAGCAACTAAGCTGCAAGCAGGGTTTGGCACTTGCTTCAGCAACAGCATGTGGCAAAAGGCCTTTTTGCGGGCAGGCCCATGTGCACAGCCGCGGGCAGTGATCAAACTGCAAGCGGCGTGCACCTGCCGCTGTTGGCATCTGCCGTGGGGTCAACAGCCGGGATCTGAGCCTTGCAAGTTGAAGAATCTCGCAATGCTGCACCGCCTCTAGTGACTCTATTTTGCGGCAGGGTGTCGCCGTACTGCTGGGCCTCGTGTGGCTGCTGAATGCTTGGGGCATGCGCTTCTGCTACCATTCAGAAGCAAGAAAACGAGACTCATGAGATGAGAAGGTCACTCAAGCCACCACCACCACCATACCATACAAGCTCCAGGTATGCCGGCTGGGTGAGAGCAATAGATCCATCGGAGGTGGTCATGGTGCCCCAGGTGCAATACCACAGGCCCGGAAATGGGACGTTGGCTTAGCAATACTATCATGGTTGCATTACGGTCATTGCTGTCGTTATGTACTCGTCGAGCCACGGTATTGCGTTGGACATAAATAAACCGCTTCAATGACTAGCTTTGCATTCATATTCATAACTAGAAACACAAATAACATAAACCAAAACCAAAAACCAAAACTAACATAAGCATACACATGTATATGTATGTATGCATGCAGGCAATCATGCATGATTGCATGGCTGTATGTATGCATGCATGCATGCATGCATGTACACGTATATGTTTGTATATGTGTATATGTATGTTAACATGCATTTTTACATGTATGTGTATACACACACAAACACACACATACATACATACATACATACATACATACGTACATATATATATATATTTATACACACATACCCATACACACATACCCATACACACATACCCATACATACATACATACATACATACCTACATACATACATATTAACTAAATTTAAAGGCCATGGATCGATACGTTTCTACAAGCCGGCAACATGCAGGTACATATGCTTGGGACGCTTGAGGTGGTACGGGGTACGTTGGGGGCGGTACGGTGGTACGCTGAGGGCGGTGCAGGGGTACACTTTGCGATGGTGCAAAGGTACGGGCTACCGTACGGGTGGTACGGTTGGGGCGGTGCCCCAACCGTACCAGCGCACCCCTCGTGCCTTAGCACCGTACCCCCCGTACCGTACCACCGCACCGTACCCAAAAAGCACAACGAATTTCGAAAAAACACAACCAATTCTGCAAAAAACACAACCAATGTAGTACCGTACCCCCCCCGTACCGCACCACCGTACCCCCCGAGCGTACCCCTGTACCGTACCACCGTACCCCCAAAGCGTACCCCTGTACCGTACCCCCGTACCCTCCGTACCGTACCACTCTACCCCCCGTGCCGTACCACCGTTCATGGACTCCCAGAG